CTTCCAGGAAAAGACATAACTTACTGGTATTCCAAACATCTCATAATGAGAGTATTGCTTCACAAAACACTGAGCCCTTTCCTTGAATTTCTCTATTGCCTCCTTACTCCACCACATTCTCTTACGACCATTCTTATCATACTGACGACCTGAACAGGGCGTAATGAATTACATAACATTGGGTAAGAAAGTGTCATGTAACCTGATTCGATTGCAGAGACAATTAAGTGCAGAGTGGTAGCTATATTACTGCATGGCTAAATTCTACGATAAGTGCAATACCAATATTCTCAAATCTACGAGTAAGTTCAGTTGGGAGTTTAGATAGCTGTTGATGCATAGGTAGTGAAACGTTTACCATTATTATCAAATCCGTGAGTAAGTTCGTGTCCCAATACCATCCCCAGAGCACCGTACTGAACCGACCTATATACAAACATCAGCGCAGAACATAAACTAATTTGACCAAGCGTTTCCTTACAGTGGCCACTCATCACTAAAAGACGGAGTCCGCATTATAGCCTCAAGAATTGCTGTAAGGTATATACAAATCTATCACCTATTGCACATGTCTTATGAAATTGACTCCTTACATATTTGATTGAAGACTGCTATGTAATAGGCGTTTACGGAAGTAGGGGAATCCAGCCACCTGCAAAGAGAAAAATTTACAAAAAACTAGATTTATGTGATTCTTTACATACATGTTTCTGTCAAGAGGCTTGTAGATGAGTGAGAACTGCTGGCGTACAGAGATGTTGATGAACTCCAAGAAGTTTTCAACATACTGGTCCTTGTTAAACTTGTACTGTAAGAATTTTTTAGTATATAGCACAAGAGCTTTATTCCAGTGGAAATTACCATGCCGTAGAGCATATTCAGAAAGCTGTCATTGAATGTCATATTTGGGTATGCAACTCTTGACTGAATGGCCTCCAGCTGCAGAATTGAAAAACAAACTTTCACTACTGCACTCTAAATTGTTAATGCAGAGGTCACCTTCTCAATGGACAGTTTCCTGGTCTCATCATCCAGCCAGTCAACATCCATCATCCTCTGTTTGAGACCTGCCCTTACTCCAGCCACCAGCTCAACACCAGCCTTCTGCAGTAGGCAACACCTCAGTAGCACAATCCTACAATGTACTTTATCAAGCAGCTTATAGCTGCACAACTCCATAACGTTGCGCGGAATAATACACTTGCAAACCAGATAAAACACACACACACACTAGGGGTCTGCACATTATTCCTTCCCCCCCCAATTATTCTATTCCTGAATTCTATTCTTTTCTCCCAATTATTTCTTAGGAAACTGCCTATTATTCTTCTCCTGGCCGGAAGACCGCCTTTCACCGAGGAGGGTTAGCAGTCGGGTTAGCATCAATCTTGCGTTTTCTGCACGCAGGTCTGAAACCGTGGGAGATCGAAGTCGGGCCAAGAGAGACGAACACGATGAACGCTCGGAGTCACTAGAAGTAGAAGTAGACGCAATGGCACTCTCTGATGATCGCAATCCGCTCGATCACTCACACAAGTTACTGCCAGTAGTCGCCGCCTATGCGCGCTGCTTAGTCATCGTGCGGTTCGCGCCGTGCACGTACATGGCTCCGCCCCCTTTCTGCAATAATTTAGCCTATTATTTCCGCATAATTCTTCTGCTTTTCGAATGCCTAAAATTCCTGAAGAAATTCCCGAATAATGTGCGTACCCCTAACACACACGTACTCAACTGACTTTGAAACCATCAGGGAGAAGGTATTGAGCATACACTCTACCCAGAGCCAATGGAAGCACTTTTTCCACAGTTTGGACACACTCTTGTTGCTCGTCCATGGATGGTTTCCCCAGTACCAGCTGTCTGAAGAGAATCAGACTCTCTCTGATGGTGGCGTCTGGGACAAAGATCTCAGCCAACTGCCACGTCATGCTCCACTTGGCATAGTTCTCCAGAGTTCTACAGGGTGGCGGGGATGTAAATTTTGTTTTCTACTAGCTTGAAGAGTTTAAGTCACCTCATTGGTACGGAAAATTTAGGCACCCTATTCTAAACAAAGGCCTGACCGTCACAACTCAAACTCCCAACATACTCATCGTCAGTGTTCTCCACTAGTTCAGTCAACCGCCTGAAGTAATTGGGAGTTTCCACAGTCACATTAGAAGAGGGTTTGACGTCTACTCCTGATGGTCCAAGAACTCCCTTTAACACTCCTAGCCAGTCATGCTATATTAATAGAGAAGATTTGACATTGGACACTGTATAATATCAGCGATAGAAACGTACGTTTGGCCACAGTTTGTAGAGCTCTTTAACTGTGTAGGTATTGTTTGTATCATCTTCAGCGTCTTCCCAAATCTGAACAAAACATTGCCACAAACCCATTCACAGATAAACACGGTCCAATTCCAAATGTGCTTATAATTATGCCATGAAACTGACACATTTTACGTCCGCTCCGCTTGTATTGTTCTATTTCTTCTCCGTTAAAATCAGTCCAAGTTTACAGATGATAGCTACTCACGTACTTGTGCCAGGGCATATTCAATTCCAAAATCTGGTACAACGACCCACTAGACCCATTAGACCCATTAGGAATAGGGCCCTGAGCCAGTTCTGTCAGAATTATCTCCATCTCATACAGCAACATTTTCCGTCTAAAGTATATACAAAACTTGCAGTATGCATTATAACAATCATCGAGAAAGAGATAACGCACTGAGTTGGTGTCATTGTACATTTCTGGATCTTCAAGACTTAGTCCAGCTTGCTCGATCTGTGCAGAGAAGGAAAATCGTAACTTTGTAGGTTCACGGGCAGTATCGTAACAACTGATCAATAGTAGTCGTAAGAAGTACACTATATACACACTAGAAATGTTTTTATAGTACAAGAGAATGAGGAAGTAAAAAGATGACGTCATACAATGATTAATATCAAGGACCAGTAATGTATATACACAGGTAAGATAGAGTTTCTTTACTCACAACCAATGAATACTGGCGAGCATCTTCATCAAACCCGACACTGAGACTGTAGAATGCGTCGCTCCCTGTCATTTTCTCTCTAATGAACTGAGAGCTGTTGACACTCCACACCGTTCCATCGCCAGGTATATTCACCAAACTCCACCCACCTGCACGTAAAATAAGATATTCTGGCATGGGTTAAATTGTCATTAATGGCATATTATTATTAAAAAACACTCTATCACTCACAGGTCAAGCCGTAACTACGCACACTCATGAATAGCGGTCTTCAGCATGCAAAAATCTGATTTCATTATGTCACACACGAGGTAATCACTGTAGGAGTATGTACCAAGCTCTTGGTAAAACTTTCTAATGATGGGCACAAGACGATTGACAAATTCCGTCTCATTCATCATCTGAGCAGCGATGCAGGAGTTGTAGAAGTTTGACAGCTGAGTCAGGACCTTGTTCCCTCCTGTGAAATTTGTCTCCAGAACCTTAGCCAAGTCACTGTACACAGCATACTGCTGCTGTTCTAGTGCTCCTGTCCCATACAGACCTGTAGATGAATTGGAACAGTGAGTACAAAACCAATGGCTGACCGCTCAGTAGAGGTATAACGGAAATTTACATAACTAACATAACATTTTCATAGGCAGTTGCATTCCTTATTAGTGGTGGGTGGCCTGGGTCATATGACCCCTTCTTGATTATTAGGGTAGCTGTCAGACCATAGACACTCATAACTCACTCACAACTCACTAGCGGCTATTCTATTATTATTCCCTGATTTTCAGTGTAGCTATACACTGTAGCTTGCTAGCATTTCGCTTAACAAAAAATTGCATGAGGATTTCAAAGGACAGTGTGAAGTTCTCTGAACAAGGAGGATTTCGAAGGGTTATTGCTGTGTGTGTGTGTGTGTGTGTGTGTGTGTGTCCGTCCGTCCGTGTGTCCGTCTGTCCACCGTTTTTCTCGGTAACCTCAGCAACTCTGAGCGTGAAACGTGGACATATTTTCAACTAGGAGGAATGCATGGTAAAATAATATTCTGGAGCGGAGAAGCCCCGGGGAAGCTGGTGAAACGGACGGCTGCCGAGGTGGGTGTGCGTCAATTAGAGATCGCGAACCATCGTTGGGTTGTATAATACTTAGATGCTAGTTGCTTTGCGTGTGTGGAGAAGATTTGCTGGTCTGGCTGTATTGATGGTACAGTTGAGTAGGATCGAGATTGCCTGAGAGCAGCACACGCCCCAGTGAATCCGTTCAGTGAAGGAGTCACTGAGGTAGCGTAGCTATATAGTATGTAGCTGAATAGTGGTGAGGGTTGTCAAGATCAGTGCTTTTCACTTTGCTGTAGCTAGTAGTAACTAGTATTTAAACGTGCATGTGGCAAAAACTGACGTAGTGTAGCTAGTAGCCATTGGCTGCTGAAATAAAGAATAAAGTGGCGAGGGTTATGCACTTTCAAGTGCTTTTCATTATTATTTTTTCTTATACAGCCGGGTATTTCTAACTGTGCATGCACATGCGTACACTCAGTTTGGAGTTGGGCATCTTTGGTGGTTTAATTACCCCTGTCTGCTCCTACATACTGAGTGAGAGTATACTGTGCCATAGCACAGTGGTTTGAGGTTTGCCTTGTGTTGTATTGTGTTAAAGATTCGAACCCCTACCAACTGAGTTGCCCTGGTAGCTCAGTTGGTAGAGTGCTCGCCTAGACTGCAGAGTGTCGTGGGTTCAAATCCCATCCAGGGCAGTTCTTCATCTTTTCCTTGAAAAGAAAGAGCTGCACTGGGTGTAGTTGACTTTTTTTTGCTTCGCCTTGCCTCTCTACCTCACTACCTAGTTGTTGAGACATGCAATGAGTCATCTGGAATATTCTTGAAGTGAAGTGAACATTGCAGGTGCAATTTAAGCAGGCTTATTATTATACACTCACTCTTGCTTGCCAAAAATTCCCTGCATTAACTTTCAGTACTCTGTTTAACCAATAGATTTCAGAACTCTGTAAAACAAATGTTAGCCTGTACCAGCTAACAGAGACACCGACATTCCAAAAACATGCTGGAGGAACACCTCAAAACCAGTGGATCAGGTTGTAGCAGTGTAGTATTGGTGGCAAGAAAAACAGCCCTTGTGCTCTGCTTCTAGGAATGTTCACAATTTCATAGAATACTACGTCCCTCCCCTGTTTCTACAGCCTGTAGTGTAGTGAAACCACAGGTAAATTCCCAGTGCCCTACAGACACCCTATAGGTGCATTTTGCTAGTGAAAATTAGCTGCATTGATGTACACCAATACACCTCCAAAGGATATGCACACAACTCAACATGCCCCCTCTCACAACTGTCTCTATAGTTCATGTAGGCGAAAGGTAGTGAAGTTGCTATAGGTAGTGAGCAATTTGCTTGACCTGAATGTGCATTAATGCACCTCATCACACTAACAAAGGGCATGCATGTGGCGAGTTACCTTCAGGGATGTGGTTGAAGGCTGGCCAGTTACCGCAGGTAAAGTTGTAGAAGTCCTGGCAGGGATCAATGCTCTCGTCCATGGCCCCCTTGATCTGCACTGCCAGATCCAGGCAAGCCTCACTCACACACACATTAGATGTGGGGGTAGGTAGAGAGGAGGAAGAGGGAGATGCTTGGAGATGTTGCTGCTGAAGAAGAAGAGGATGGAGATGTGTTGAGCGCGTACAGCACCACAAAGACCACAAAGAGTACTGTTGCTGCAAACAGGAGGACCAACAGTAGGGCAATGCATATTCTTGGCAGAATCGATCTTTTCGGGCGATAGATGTCGAGGTGAGGTTCAGCCCCATCCGTATCGTCTGCCCTCGACGGCATCACGCTGTAGCCAGTCTTCATCCTGTAGACAATGTGCATATAAGCCACCTTCTCTGGACCGTCGCTAGCACATGCATGCACACGGCTGAATTGCAACTAGTCCTGCGGCTTACGTTTTTCCTGGTTTCTGCAGAATGGGGAAGCTATTATACTGAAGCTCTCTCGCTCAACTCGCTCCTGCTGCTCTAGCTCTATCTTTCAAGCATGTGCGCTCGATAAGCGCTTATGCGGCGGGGGCGCGGTTCATAGAGGCGCTTACACGTAATCCGCGCAGATACACTCAACGGACGAGATGCCGACTATCCTTTGCCACCCTGCGCTCAGCCATTATGTGTGTTCGAGGCAGCAGGTCCTCCCGCCACCTCCCAATACGTGTACCGGACATAACCCTCGCAACAGCTGAGGGCCATGTCCCAACAACTGAGTAACTCTGAACCCTACGAGAACTTCTAGACGTATCTACCAACCCTCGGCGCGCATGCGCAGCGAGTGTTATAGTACTTGGTTTGTCCGTCTGTCTGTGTATCTGTCTGTCTGTCCGTCTGTTACCACGTTTTCTGCCATCCACGCGCACAAACAGGTAAAATAGCGACCCAGCGGTTACAGCGCTACACCTCTCGGCTTGATTTTAAATGGCGATTTTCGTCAAAGTGCCTGCGTTCAGAAGTTATGGCGTGGACAACCAAAGAACGAACAGCCAATATGCTAATTAGAATGCTGTACTCGAACTGATCTGCTTGCTCTGTGTACCTCGGAGGCACAAGAAGTCACAACGAATAAGGGCGTGTGTATCGACTCCGCTGCTATCTACTACTGTAGCTAGCCCGTTTCAGACGCTCCGAGCTAGCAGCGGAGTCAACGTATATTAGTATACTGGGCCAGCCATCATTAGCGGTACGCGCATGCGCAGTTCGCCGAGGGTTTGCACTTTAGTGCTTTTCATTATTATTATTATAAAAAAAACAAAAACGGGACGGCTTACTACGGCATGATCGATCCGCGTGCTCTGCGTACCTCGGAGGCACCAGAATTAGAAGATGCAACGCAGGGCGTGTATCGCCTCTCGCATGCTATCTATATAGTAGTGTAGTTAGCCCGCGTCAGACTCTGCGCGAGCTGGCAAGAGACCGCGACTAAAACTAAACCCAGCCCATCAATTAGTGGTACGGCGCATGCGTTTACTTACGCGTGCGCGTCACAGTGCGCCGAGGGTTTGCAGTGCTTTTATGTCAGGGGGAAAACGCATACCTTCCTGAAGCTGAACAAATACTGTGAATTTCTAGTGCGTCTGGTTTTCATGAAACTGCCAGTGTATCAATGGCATGTCTTCAGAAATATAGCTACGTAGATTGAGGCCTCTGACATGATGCGTGGCAGTGCAAGTGCAAAGTTGACAAGTTCATTTCACTGGCAACAAGTACAACTGCCTATCTAAAAGAGCTAACAACTGACGATCTAACAAAAATGCTAAACAACTGTCTATAAGCTACTAGCTACTTCACAAGATAACGTTCTGACACTATTTTCTTTAATTTTCTCTTGGCAGTTCACCAGAGAACACATTTCTCAGGAGGGTTCATAGAAGATTCAGCTGGACAGTTGAATGCCTCCGAAAATTCTTCGTAGTTAGATAAAGTTCCGATGTTCCTGCACAATAGAGTGAGAAACTGAGATAGACAAGGCTACAAGAACATAACACCTAAGTCCATTTGACATCACCTTGACTGATTGACTGAGCCCTGTCTATAGGGGGCATGCAGTTAGACTCAAGGGCTCACATGAACGTGCGAATAGTATAGAGTAACTAGGAATGCGCACGTGCATATTTTGCCTCGCGCCTGCCAGCAGCCATGCTGTCCGACTAGCTAACTGAGGCCGCTCGTGCGCGCGCTCTACTCTGCGCGCACGGCGGAAGTTATTATACGATGACGGAAATTTACATTCCTAAGCGTGACTAATTTACATTCCATAAGCGTGACTAATTGACATTCTTAAGCGTGACCGACACGTACGTATATCGCGAGAATACAACCCGGAGTAAATAAGTGGTGGCAGGGATGGGATTCTTTGTTGAGATAAGTGCTCACCTGAATTCCCCTGGACTGTGTTCATCAACTGCGATGGCTGCACGAAACGAAGTTTCGGTAGAGTAGGAGCACCAAAGCTGAAAAAGTAACCAATCTTCAGATTGCCAACTAAACTAGCTATATTATATATAGATACCTGTCCAAATGCAATGAAAAACAGTTGGTCATCGGTGAAATCAGTCAGTCCGGGCAGATTCATGCTTTCTCTCGCAATCTTCTTGTATGCCTGCAAGGAAGTCAATAGCTCAATCTAGTGGCTTGTTTTCATAGTGATCTCACATTATAGCTTGCTCTGATTCCTCCATTATCGGCAATATTTTCTCCAAGTGTACTGTTTCCATCCACCTGCAGTGAAAGTGTAGTTTAAAACAACACAGCTAACAGCAGACAGGCTGACAACGAAAAATATCAGAAAAACACTTTACAGACTCATACTGATATTCCAAAGAGTCCGTATTGGGAGTATTGATCCACAAAGCACTTGGCTCTGTCATTGAAGGTGTCTACTGCAGTCTGACTCCACCACATTCTCTTCCGACCTTCCTTATCATATCGTCGACCTGCACCATGACGCTAAACTAACAGTCTCCCTCAATTCTTATTGTAGCTACACATTAGTGACGATTATTGACGAGTGAAGCAAGCTTTCCTATAGTCAGTTTTATTGCACATTTTTCGATTTCCAAGGGCACTGTCTGATAACCATGTTTTACGTGACTCGTTCGCAATTGTGTAATGTTGCGCTGCGTGTGACTCTTGCGTTCGTTCTAGTATTATTTTACATGGCTCAGGTGATCATTGTAAGCTTAGAGGTTTCAGGATTCAATGTCAGGATTTACCTATTCACCGGCGACCCTCATCGT